TTCTCTTTCACAATTTCCACTAATTATTCACATTTCCACAACAAACATACTTCATATCATATATCTATATATATATATCTATATCCATTGAAATCAATGACTTTTTAAATTCTATTTCACAAACTAATGTTCATGCTAAAACCATTTCAATAACAATCATGCATAAAACTCGTAAATTCACATAAATCATTTGATATTCACTTCTATATAGTATAATAGTTAATAAACATAATAAACTATATGGTTACCTCAACCATTCTATACTAGAAATGTTTACCTGTGTTCCAACAACCCTATTTCAAGCTCCTTTCTTATAATTTGTGTCACACCACCACATACTAGAATCTACACAAAATTGGCAACCTAAAGTCAATTTCTCTATTAACAAAAAGTACCAATCATCACATTTAAGCACTCAATCATATCAAATCCACATTTCACACTCGATTACATCCATTCACTAATTATCCCTCATTTCAAGCTTTAACATTTCTAGCAATTTTCTCTCACTACTCTCTCTAGATTAGGGCAAAATCTTACCTACAACTTTAAAGCTTTATCGTTTTGACTCCAACCTTTCTATTATTATAAGGTAAGAAATCAACTCCTTAAAACTCCTAATTCAATTTCTCACTAGTTAAAACTAAGAAAAATAGGGTAGATTTAAAGGTTAAGAGCAGTACATGACTTACCGATAAATAATAGGTCAAAAATATCGTCCTTACTCTTGATTATGCTTCCCCTAACAGATCCACTGCTCTTCTCCATACTAAAACTGTCTTCCCACATTTCTCCTTTCTGTTTCACAAGCTGGACACATCCCTATTAATCTGATTTTTGCACTATGCATCACGACGCATCCATCCCCTATTGCGGTGCGTGGCACAGTGAGGAAAATCCTCATTATGCTCACACATCTGCTTTGGGATTCTGCTTTAGGTCAAAATAACACTTCACTACTCAAAACTTTAATCCCATATTAATCACTAATTCATTCTTAATCAGTCATTAACATATGATTAAAAATTCAAGATGTTACACTACACAAAAGTTTAGGGCAACCAAAATAATAGAAAAAGAAATAAAAAGATATGAAAAGATATTAACCAAGTTTTTAGAAAAGGAAAAAAAATAGAGACAAAAGAAAAGGTGAAAAAGAAAAGAAAAAGGAGTAGAGAAGTTTCCTGGCTTATTTACATTCATTTCTTATCATTTCTCTTCATTCTCATTATGTTAAGAAAAAGGCATGTCATTGCTGTCATGATAGCAAACAACTATCATCATAGTACTTTAAGCCTAAATTCTAGAGCACACCGATTTGCCATTTGACATTAAATTTTAGTGATTCAAGAATTCACATATAGCTCTTAGAGCCACCTAGTTATTGGCACTGGTCTCATGCCAAAACACTAAGGGTGCATTTGGTTTTCAGTTTGCCAAAAGTTAGTTTGATGAAAGTTTATTTGGCAAAAGTCAGTTGTGTTTAGATACATTTTTTTAAAAAGTCAGTTTGGCAAACTAAAAGTTGTTTGGATTAATAAAAATTTATGCTTTTGAAATGTACTTTTTAATATATAGTGACCAAAAAGGACATTGATTTATGATCATTTGTGATTTTTATTATACAAATATAATATATTAAAATATTTAAAAAATGTGAAACAAATATAAAATAACATAAAATTTAAAATGTTAAATAATAAGAATAAAAAATATAAAATTTAATTTTGGAAAAAATTATGTAATAAATAGTTAAACATTCATTAAGATTGAATAGTTACATGATTAACAGTTCGATCTATAATATATAATCTGATCTCTAATAGAATCTTATCTCTCTATTAGAAGCTATGCTTAAAATTGTAGTTGAAATTGTTGATGAAAATGCATGCTTGTCATTATCATCGTTAGTCTTAACCATATTTTCATCCTCAAAATGCCTAAAGTTAGAATCAGTTATAGATTTTCTTCTAATAAAATTATGTATAGCCATTGTTGCACTAATAATACGAACTTGCTGCACAAATGGATAGCTAGGTATGTATCATAAGATTGCGAATCTATGTTTCCAAACCTCAAAAGTCCTTTCAATTGTGGTCTTTAAGCTTGAATGATAATAACTAAAAACCTCACTATTATTTGTAAATTTGGATGAATGCCTGAAATCTATGAGATGATATCTGTGAGATCTATAAGGACCTAAATATCCACGTGGTGTTGGATAGCTGGCATCCGACAAATAACATTTACCTACCAATAAAAAAACAAAAATTGCAAGATCTCAACAAATATTAAAAAAATTATTTTAAATTAGATAAATATGAAATATACCTTGGGGTAGATGTGGAAATTTCATGTTTGGCCTTATGAGTGCATAATCAAACAAATAAGCATCATGAGTAGTCCTTTCCTATCCAGCCATGACATAAGTGAAGCACATATCCCAATCACATGCGGCCATTATATTTTGTGTTGGAATACCTTTCCTTTCAATATATTTCCCTTACTCTTCAACACTGACCACACAGAGGATATGGGTTCCATCAATTACTCCTATGGCATCTTTAAAGAATGGCCAATACCGCAGATCACCTAAAATTTTTAGATGAATATCTTAAAAAGTATGATCTTTTGGTTAGATATATTTCTTTGCTAGATTCTCACAAGCATGTAATACATCTAAAATGTTTGTGAATAGTCTCTGTTAAAAGTTGAAGTTGTTCTTGTGCCATCCTATTCCCCACTCTATGTCCAACAATATTTAGGAACATACCAACCATTTCATGAATCCTTATTCTTCTAGTTATATGTAGGCCATGTTGCACCAGTTCATCATAAAGTTGAAGAAGAACATCTTTTTCCATACGAAACATGTCATAACAATGCTGAGGATGCCCTTGCAAAATTTCTTACACCATACATGACCTGATTGCAAACTATTTCTACAAGGCTCTTTCAATAAAGTTGTTAAGTAATTAGATACCATTGCAATAATAGCGTCAACCTCATCGTCTTCTGCATGTATAAGTAATTATAATAAGTGAGACTACTTTCATCCATAAAAAGTTCATAACATAATTTAACAACCATTGCACTATTGTTTATGACTTAACATAAGAAATATATAAAACAAGAGTCCAATAACATAATCAATTTCAAAACAAAATTAACAACATCAACGACACTAGCTAGATTTAAAACATTGAGAAGGCAAGCTAGGATTGATCTAATTTGCTTTTTTACCTATGCACTTCAAATAGGCCACTAATGCTATTCTATTGTCGTGAAGCCCAATATACATGTCCCTTGCAATCTTATCTAGCAAGGCCATAGCATACTATCCAAGAAGTGCCTTATCACAAGCAATCTCCTTGATTCCATAAAGTTAGTTTGCAATGTCCACCACATTTTGATCAACTGGTTTTGTTCCACCCATTATGGAATTAAGAATTGACTTTAATGTTGAAATCCTATCCTCTTGTGTGGACACCAATCGACTCACTGAATCAACCATCATGATTGCAAGACATTTTCCCTTCTTGTTTTGACTACTTTCACCTCTCGTTTGCTTGCTCCTTGAATTAGTACCAACCATTTTATGAATTATTCAAGTTAACTTGCCCAATTTTTGGGAAAGCTCCTCTACTAATGTTTCTTACATCATCACTGTCTCCTGATCCTTCAGTCAAATCCAATTGAGGCCTATACACATCTTATGGATCATCAGCCGTAGGTGTCCATGTACCAAAATTCACTAAACAATCATAACAACCAATCATAATTGCTCCTAAGCTCACATTATCCATATAAGGTTAAAACTAATAATATTTTAAAAATAATTGAGGAATATTCAGGATCCCATAAAAATCCTTTAAGTTGATAGATTGAGCTCAAACTTAATGATTTATAAGGTATTGGAAGTATGAAAAAATTTTAGGAAGCAAACCACTTCAAAACAGGGCCAAAAATGTCATTTTTGAGTGTTTTGGTCCATGCATCATGGATCATGGTCTGTGCACTGCGACATGTGGCACAGAATGCCAAATTTTCTCACTATACTATGCATCGTGGCTTGCGCGAAATGCGCCGCAGCCCACCTGTCCATGACAGCAATGCTGTCATGACAGCTTTTCTGGACGAACTTCGAATGCGTGCCATTTTCACATCCGATGTCCGATTGGAGTGATTCAAGCGCCCACACGAAGCTTATTTAATAAGATAACTAGTAGTACAAGTTTCATTACAATCCAATACTATATGAGAATTTTAGACACTTAGATGCAAGAGTCAGTTTTTTAAAGAAATTTTCAACCATCCAAGCATCCAAAACTCATAACTTATAGCATTAACCCATTGTGAGGCTTGAACTAAGTCCAATGGACCAAAATACACTTGAATGACTAATAAAACACACAAAAACATACCAAACACAAAATTTGGCCACTCAATGGCCATTTTGCCTAATATGGCCAAAATGCACAATTAGCACTACAAGCACTATTTGACCTCTATTGCCACATAATACACTACCAATATATTATCACCATTTAGATAAAACATTCCTTGCACTTGTATTAGTATTTTAGCCCATCACAACAAAAATTACCACATCTTCATCTCATATACAATATCGGGCTAAAATAGACAATAACATAGTATACAACAAGTACAACCAATCAAAATGATATGCATTCCTAGTTGGTAAATTATAATATCATATAACAAGTTTATGTACACCACTCAAACCGAAATTGGGCTTTACAAAGAGTGTAGCAAATATGCTAGTCCCTGCCCGATTCCCTCCTTGGCTCAGTCTCACTGGTAGTACCTATAAAATGATAATCCACGGGATGGGATAAAAATCTCAGTAACTAAGATAATCTATATTATTAATTAACAAGTCAAGTTATAAACAAGCATTAAAATAAGTAATATAATCACATCATATAATATCACCGTAAATTTACATGCATGATCTCTAACCATACGGTCCTCCAATACTCCTGACCAAACCAGTAGGCTATTCTACAAAACCAAACCACATGTATGGTCCCTAAGCTCACCATTCATGGTAGGACTACCTAGCCAAGGTATCCTAAACCATTTTCAGACTACTGTTTCCCCCTATTACAAGTAATTGGGGTGTTGTTACTCCAATACCTCGTCCTACGGATGCTAAGGAGCATAGTCTCTAACTCCGCACCCTTTTGGGTACTAAGGAGAGTAAGTCTCCAACACCGCACCCATTTTCGGGCAAGGAGAGTAAATGCTACACCTGGCGTCCCGAGGTACCAGCAATGCCATATGGACTTAATCTTCACTATCTCCACTAAGGTGACCTACCACCCTCTAATATGCCACATTTCACTACATATCTTCACTTGACCATGCATAAACAACTTTTCAAACAGGTATAACAAAATATTTCCATTACTTCAAAAATATAGAATTTTACAAACCAATACTCCACCTTTTCTAAAATAGTTAACCTCTAAGGAATTTATACATATATACTCAACAATTCATAGAAAAGAAACTTGAGAATAATTTATACAAGGTAATAAACAATGCAAATTATCCAGTTACCTCAACCCTTTTGTTACTAAAAGGGTTACCCATGGTACTAATTCTCTTCTTGTGTCAATATAAGTCTTCCCACACCACAATCTATATCAACAAGTATTATATGTTAATTTTCAATTAACACAAGCACCATTAACTAATAATAACCTCCCAATTCTCCCACTTCTTACTCATATTCTGAATAAATAGACTTGTCAAGATTAGAATTTGTTCACTTCATCCCTTTAAGTCTCTTTCTAACTCTATCACAATATAAAACTCAATATCTCAACTTATCACACTTCAACACCCTATGATCAAGTTAGGGCTTGATCCAAAATTCACCAAACAAGAAAGTAGCTTCCTATTACCACATATCCAAGATCAATAAACCTAAATTAAACCTTTAGAGTCAATAGAAACCTTTAAAACATTGACTCATGGCTTAATCCCATCAGACTAAATTCTCACTTTTCCAAATCCCATGGAAAATGAGATGAAAAGGTAGAGGAGAAGGGTAGGAAACTTACCCAAGAGTTTGAAGGCTCAAATCATCTTCAAAATCCTCCAAAATTGATGCCCTAGCAGTGAGCAACAACTTGATTTTGCTCCCCTTGATGCCTTCTGACTTGATCCAACTTTCATCCTATCTCAATTTAGAGCCAAATATGACCTAAAAATCCAATTAGCCAGCCAAAAAAATAATTAAATAAATTAATCATATTTTTAACTAATTTATCCCTTAATTAATCCATTTTTTTCCAGATTTGAAGTTTTAGGATGTTACAGGAAACTTACCTAAGAGTTTGGAGACTCAAATGATCTTCAAAATCCTTCCAAATTGATGCCCTAGTTGTACCCAAAGTTGCCCCCTTTGTGCTCTAGGTTTTCTATCAATTTTTGATGATTCTCGAAAATTTAAGTTGCCTGCTATGTTGTGCGCCGCAGCGCACGCCACGCAAGCCATGGCTCATGACGCAGCGAGCAACAACTTAATTTTGCTCCCCCTGATGCCTCCCGACTTGATCTGACTTTCATCCTATCTCAATTTAGAGCCAAATATGACCCAAAAATCCAATTAGCCAACCAAAACCATAATTAAATAAATTAATCATATTTTTAACTAATTTATCCCTTAATTAATCCATTTTTCTAGATTTGAAGTTTTAGGATGTTACAGTCCACATGTAAGTGCCCGATGCTGTAATTGGTAGAACAAGTGTGTCAATTCTTGTACATATAGAAGTGGTCTATGTCTAAATTTCCTATACTCAGGATTCTCTTGCACATTTACAAGAACTAAGTCTAGTATGTTTATAAAATAAAATATCAAATGTATAGCATGCCATGTCTAATTGTATACCTTAATCTTTTGATTCCACTACTCTTCTGGTTTTGAAATAGTATTCTTTTCGCTATCCCATCCTAAATCAATCTCTTTGTTTAATAGTTTGTCCCATATATTCCAATCTTTCCTCAAATTATCCTATTTGTTCTTTAATTGCTTCTTATCATAGCTTCTAGAGCTCAAAGCACTGAACTATTTCATTAATGCCTCCCAACCTTCCTTTGATAAGATAGATCCTTTACGCTCAGTTTTTCTAACTTGCTGTAGAGCTAATTTAATGAACAATTCGATCTCTTCGGTAGTCTATAGTGCCTTATCTTTACTCATTTTTACTATTAAAATATCATATTCTCAATACAAATGAAATTTGAGGAGTAAAAATCCATAATTGAATTAGACTTAAAATATTAAAAAATTTACTATCCTTTTTTATCAATGAAAAGTCAATAATAATTGTATTTTTTTTTGTTTTTTAGGAAACAAAGAGAAAAATATTATTGGATCATGGTTAATTAGCCACTTGTTATTATTGGATAGGGAGGCACAGCGGAAGATTAAAATTTTAAAGTCCCTATCCTGATATGGACTGAACGAACTCATTTAAGTTAAGGTGGATAGAAGAGTTACCTTTTAATTCTTTAAAGTTAGCGCACGTTCTTTTCAAGAGTTTGGATCTTAGGAGCTAACAATGTGGATCCACTCCCTCTACTAGTATCCACATGAACAGCTCTCTAACTCGACTAGCGTGCTAGCACTCTCAGCGTCCATTCTTCTTTGAACATTAATTTTCCTTTCTATATGCCTCTAAGAGTGTTTTTGCCGTCAGAACTTTTCTAACTCTCTCTCCCTTCATAAAAGATGTCCCTATTTATATATAGTATATAGATAAAGATTTTCGTCTTCCACTTAAAAGTCCATGAAAATTTAATTAAATTTATCTCATAAATTTAATCCATAATATCATATCTAATTCAAATTTATCTTATAAATTCAAATTATAAAACTGACATGATATTCTTTCATATCATATTAGTTATTAAATTCAATCTATCATATAAAATTAAATTTAAAACTAACATAATATAATATAATATTTATTACATATACATATTATATTATATATACGAATATATACATATATATTTCAAAAAAAATATACATATATATATATATATATATATATTATCTATATTTAATTTTATGTATTATATACATATATCGTATAGATATATATATCTGATATATACACACACACACACATATATGGATATATATATTCCAAAATACATACATATATATATATATATAATTATATTTTGAATTTTGAATTTCATATAAATATATATATATATATATATTTATCAAATAAATATTCAAATATATATATAATTCATTCACCCTATATTATATTCATTGAATCTAGACATATTCTAAATTCAATGAACTTGGACATTATAGCTTGAGTGGGGCTGTTATTATGTGCGACCCTGTAGGCCCATATGATATTGGCAGTTGGCTAATTACACCATTAGCCCACAAGTCACAAGTGGTCTTTAGCAAGACATTGCAACTACCTAATTCACATGGGGATCGATGATCCGATGTAACCTACCATGCAACCGTATCACATTCCTTTTGTCACGTGATATTTTGGTCAAGTGTGAGATGTAGAATTGTCATTCTCCTTTACCTGGCTATTACTTTCTCAATATTTGAGTAGACTAATAGTAGCAATGGAAAAACCCTTTCCATTTTAGTATGGCCATACATTTTCTCAGTCTTACTCATCGAGAGGCCCAGTAATATCGCTCCCTTAATGTGATGAACAAATTTCATCTTGACCACTTATATTCCTCTGTATGAATATCACTAAGCTTAATCATAGCCTTTATGATCACCCGATCAAAGTTCAGTGGTCATCATATAGGAATCCATGATGATCACAGCTCAAAGGGCTTAGTGATATTGTTATATATGAGATAAGCTTATAACTTGTACCATGCAGCTTTCTCATAGCGGGTTGGTCCAGCACTTTCTACTCTTTCAAGTGCTTATGACTTTAATTTGTATCTTTATAATTAATTAAAGTCATACCAGTCTTGTTTCATCTATAATTCCTTAAAGATGACCGATCAGGGACATTTAGGACAATCACTATAGTCTGTCCTGGGATACAGTTATCATATTGAACATGCAATTGTTATGATAACAAAAGAGAAATTCATTAAATAACAATGTGCATAGTACAATGATTGACCCTAGGGCACAATTTCCAACAGTTATCTTAGCCACATATACTTGTTGAAAGAATTCAAAAACAGCCACAATCAAATGGCTTGGCAATTTCTAGACTCATTTAAAAATTCAGATCATACGATTCAATAATATGTATTAAAATAAGCAAGTTTGGCCATAAATTTGTAGCCTTTCTCATCCCTTCATCATTTTTCAAAAAATGAATGAGCTCAAATTCCTATCAAAATGAAACTAAAGAAAAAAAGCAAAGCAAGATAGAATAATCGATAGATCAATCACCAGAACATATTCCCAGAACACCGTGTCATATTTCTAAAACATCAATAGAACAATCATGAAATGCAGTCATAAATAATGATCAATCTCATCCATCCCATTACATGTTCTTGTTCTACGTAGAAGATGGCAATCAAAAGAAGGCAATAAGAAAAACCTCACACTAGTCACTAGAACAGAGGCTTCATGGTGGTAAAAAAAAAGAAATATATCAGATCGAAGAGCAGAACAAAGGACCATCATTTCATTTATTAATGCAAAATAGAGGACCACCATTTCCAAATCTAATAAAACATGCTTGGAGGCTATCATACCTTATAGACTAAAGACTAGATTGAAGAAGGGGGTTAGAGTTCGACGAGCTAGTTTGAATGTTCAGTTTTGCACTCCACAGGTTGCAAATCTAGGTATCATATGTTCTCTTAGCTTTAAAATGTCATCCAAGTCCCAAAACAACTTAATCCATGAAAGAGTTGAGGAGAAATCAGATAGTGGAATGTGGCGACTGTCGATGAATGAAGGAGGAGCTCAAGGAAGGAAGAGATGAGGAGCTTCAAATCTGTGAGATGGCAGAGGAGGGGCAAAGGAGAGGAGAAGAGATGGCTAAGTGGTTGGCGACCGGTAGACAAGCGGCAAACGAGCAGTGGCTAAGCAAGATGAGAGAAGTAGTAAAGAATGAGAGACGAGTAGGTAGCTCGGGTTGCACGAACGAGAGATTAGAGAAAAAGGAGGGTATCATGGTTAATAAAAATATTAGGTATTAGCCATAAATGCCCAATGCCACAGATCACATTTCAAAAGCAACACCAAGGAGCTTTTGCCTTTTTTTTTAGTTTCAAATATATTCGGAAGCTCATTTTGAAAGCACATTCTATCTGGAAAAAAAAACCCAAACAACATTTCACATTTAAAAATTTAAAATTTACTTTTGGAATGTAAAAGTAGGTGTACCCAAATAAACTAATCAAAAGTTGGATACTTGGATACAAAGTGGTCCATTTTCCTTCTAAAACAATAACCAAGTTATCCAAAGTCTTATACTAATTGCCAATAATTGTGAAACCACTTGAACTAACTCAAATGAACCACAAACAACCTGAGTGATTAAACCACTACAATAACATTCCAAACACAATTTAGCTATCTAAACCTCAAACTCAACATAAACTCAAGGGTACAATAATTAATCATAAACATCTTTAAGGCTATTCAAACACATAATGAATACCAAAGCAATACTTACATTAGTATCCTGACCTCTCCCAAACATTACATCACAGAGTCAACGTCTTAGGTCAAGATACTCACAGTTTACATAGAATTTATACAAGTGACAACAAAATGGGTTTATGATCCTAAGTTAGCATAAACATAAATTAATTTATTGAAAAGTCAAAAGAAAGAGAGGAAACTATACAATTATAAATTCCTTAATGCTCAGCAGTACCTTTCTTTCCTTTGCCCCTATTAGAGTCTTTACTAGTAAAATATAACCATGGGATAAGTCGAGGACTTAATAACTAAATCATCTAAACAAACTACTTATGTGTGATAATAGTTAGAGAGCATGTGAATCAGCATTAAAATATATTTCATATATAACAAGTACATGCACATACACATAGCTATTCAATAGAAATATGCATGATCAACACACCACCTTATATCTTCCTTATATCTTCTAACTAAATCTGTAGGCTGACAATTTGATAGAACCAAATCTATGTGATTAGATTAGCTCAAGCTCACCAATTATGGGAGGCTACCTCGGCCACGGGTGATTTCACCAACTATGGACCACAGACTCCCCCTTTTCATGAATACCCAGGGTGTCAATGCCAAATCTATTTCACATTGTACTGAGACTTCTAAACAAATATAGAACTATGCACCGAGGCCTCTATGGTGCCAATGTAGCATATGAATTTTCAAACAATGTCCCCAAAACCATACTAGGGTGAACTCCTACCCTCTTACAATGATCATGCCAAACATATGCTCAACAATTCCATACATGACCATAACGTGTAACTTCCACTATAATAATCATCTCTATTATAAACCCTATAATTTCACAAATACTTATACTTGAACATATGATTTATTCTTCAAAATCACAATAATCAAAACATGATTTTCCATTTTACTTTATATGGAGTTTCTAAATCATAATCATTTCATATTAATACTATTCTAGTATAAAAAAAGAGTATTAGCTTTAATAATTATCACACAACCATCCAAGAATGCAAATAAAGAGTTTAGATAATCCGATCACCTCAACCCTATTGTCATAAAATGGTTAACGTGGTTGAAACTTAGTTTCATAAGTGTCCACTAGCATATAAACACTCAATCAATATTTAATATACAAGATTAAACATTAAATCATCAATCCACACACTACTCAATCCCTTTTTGGCATAATTTTGAGTACCTACGTTACCTAAAACCTTACTTTAACACTATCAACTCTCTCAACATACTCTAATAATCCTATTTAGCATCCAAACACCCTAATAACACCAATCTTCTACCCAGATTATTCTTAAACTCTCAAATTCTACTTAGGGTTCATCTTAATCCTAACTAAAAACTCTAAATCATTAAACAATCCAATATCATAGGTTTAGAAGCTTAATTTAACTCCCCAAGATCTTAACCAAGGTAATGGGTTTGGTTACAACCCAAGA